TCTTGTTGAGGGCCTTCCTCTTTCTCACTGCCTGTCCACTTCACCAAGCATGCTGTCCCTCTCCAGGGACACGGCTCTCCTGACATGTCCAACATATGTGAGACTTTGCTCCTCTACGGAGCACGCTGGTGCTTCTTCCAAGACAGAGCTAGTTGTTCTTTTGACAGTCCACCAGACTTTCCATATTCCTAGATAGTTCCAAGTTGAGCCCTAGATTCGGCCAGGTCATCACAGGGCAGCCGAGCTGAGAAAACTCTGCTGAGCTTGGTAGAGTAAGCTTAGGACCTATTGAGTCCACAGTTGTTGTTTCCGGGAAAAACAATGGTGCAAACTTCATATTTGGTGCCAGCTGTTGGAAGTGTGGTTGTCACTACTTCACTCAGTGACTTCTCACAGTAGCCACCAAACCTTTTGTTCCTCAAGCAACTGTGTGGGGTTAAAGGGAAGAGGGAACCCCACAAAACATCACAGGTTCAGTAGGCGCAATTGTACAGCGATAATAAGTAGAGGTTATAGTAAAGTCATAGAGAGCATGAGAGTTAAAGGATAGAGTCAAGTAATGGAGTCAGACGCAATTCATGGTAGCATTGCTCACCTCAGCCCCACTTGATGGTCCTCGTGGAGGGGGCTTAGCCGTCAGAGTAGAAGCAGCTGCCTCGTCCTCCTTAGCCACCTCTCAGCCAGCCACCCTCCCTAGAACCAGGGAGCCTCCTTATTTATTGCTAACCACGCATCATATCACTTTAGGGGGATCTGATTACAGAGTCATACATCACAGGAAAGGGGCAATACAATTCATCCTAGAACAAGTTTGATCACTCTGGTGTCTCATACAATAAAACAGACAATTACTATTCTGGGAGGCATGGGAGTCCCCTGATAGCAGACAATAACCTAAGTCACAGGGAGGGGTAGCGACATAGGCAATACAATCAATAGGAGGGGGATGACTTAGGGGTGTGCCCATATTTGCTGTGGGATAAACAGTGGTGTCTGCTTGATCTAGACAGCTGATAATGGCTACCTAACCTTGGTCATCCTTGGGCGGGTTTGCCCTCTCTGGTATCTCCTGCAAGTAAACAGACAACTTTTAGGAGCCCAAAGAGGAGTGTGAATGGCACTGTGTTGTGCAACACCCTTCAGTGGATCCACAGCCTTGGAATTCTGCTCATAGGATGCTTTCCACACATGGCATCTCTTTTGGTGTCATCTCACTGGAATACCGTGGTCCCTTTACCTCTCCTGTTAAAAACCTACATTTTCCATTGTTTTACATTTTATGTGCTACAGTAAAATGTTGCAAAACTTTTTTTATAACTAGGTAAAAATCAGTCACTAAACCAATCACACAGCAGTGGAGTTAAATGCTGTAACCATTGCAGCTTGATGACATTAACTATTAAGAGCATCTAAATCCTTTCCCCCTAATGTCATGTTCGCCCAGCTACTCTGTATATTTTCCTATAGCAAGAGACTGCAAAGGCAACACTACAATAATTAACACATAACCCCCAAACACGTTTATTGCACTGGTTTATGCGAAGACTGGACATGTCTGCACGGAATTTAAAATGAGGACCATGATTCCTGTCAGACATAATTTTGATGTGGTCCTTCACAGGAGCTGCAGAGGGGTGGACTACATAACCCCTGGCAATCCCATCCAATGTAACAGTTTGCATTAATATGGCTGAAAGTAGATGTTTCAGGGGCCCAGAAGGAAAAGCAGGGGCCCCATTTTGCCAGGCCTACTTCAAGCCTGAGGCGGGCAGCAAGGTGGTGGTTGTGAGATGCCATCGAGCTGTTTCCAAGCGATAGGGGCCCTATGCACAGCAAAACAAACACTGCCCACTCCCGCGCCATCCCACACGCGTGCCTATGCAGCAGGGCGGCCAGGGAGAAACACTGTTCCCGCCTCCTAATCAGAGGCTGAGCCACAATTCAGACCAGGGCTTCTATCAAGCAAAGGTTTGGGGCAGCTGTCCTTGTTTTTTGCCTCTTTTTCTGGCGGCAGTCCCATAGTACCAACATACACTCTCTCAGTCACGCTGAGGTTAGTGCTGGTGGAGTTCTTGTTTTTTGAGCATTTGGGTGGGGGAGTGGGCTTTGCGGGGAGGTTATATTCGTCTGTCTGTCTCAGTCTCTGCCCTTTCCCAAATGCCTGTTGCTCTCATTCTTTACCTTAATACAGTCATGACGTACGTGATGATGGTATCAAAGAATGTTCTGATCTGACCCCACCCAGGAGACCAGTGTAGAAGCCACAAACCCTGCTCAGTCCTTCTCATGAAACTTCCGGGCTTTATTCATTCATTCATTCATTTATTTATTTTTAATACGACCATTACATAGTACACAAAAATAAAAGTCAAATGAACTTGGTATTTATAAATTATTAAATAAAAATACAGGAATATATATTTATATTTATAGAGCTTTTTTCTTTTCTTCTAAACTAACCGAATCTGTTCTCCCGCCATTTTATGATTTAAAAAAGTAAATAGTATATGCCCGAAAATAAGTGGGACGTGGGATTAATAACCGCAGGACCTAGTTGCCCTACTTCCACTTCTTCCTTGGCCAAAGTCCCTACTTGTCCCTTTGGGTTCTGGAGAGCAAGAAACACCCTCTACACTATTTAATCTCTGAAAAAAATGGCAACTACATGACTTCCTTTATTATTATTTTTTTAATGAAATGGATTTAAAAATTGGGAGCCATCCTCAGCCTTCTTGGCCAAGAGCTAATCCCAAGAAACTGTATGGCTCTAGGAGAGTCCCTAGTTTTCCCTGACGGAAGAGTCTCTGGAGTCCCGTGTCCTTCGAGCTAAGAAGGGGTGACAAGTCAGCCTGCCCACTGCAGCCCAGCCCAGCTACGTTTCTAGGAATCTAGACCAAGCCCAGGGCATTTTGGTAATGGCCATTTGGTCGTGGTCCCTGCTGCCCCTGCTGCTGAAGGCCCACAGGAGCCCTAACAGGACAGGCATCTTGTGGCAGGGGTAGGCTGCATCCGCCCCAGACCCTGGGGAGCACGGCTCCAATTTGGAGCTGATGGTTTAGTCAGTGGTTCTCCAACTGTTTTTTCCTTTTCAGCAGCAAACCCCTTAATTCAAATAAAATCTTACCCTGAACCCCGATATATAAGACAACTCTAAGGGGAGCTGTTCTGTTTGAGGACAAGTAGCCCAGCCTGCTCACCCCACCCCCCAAGGACTCCAGAAGTGACCCCTACAAAACTCTGGGGCTCTGCCAAGCAGTTTGAAAACCACCGGCCTAGTCTGTCCTGAGCAAGTCAGAGACCCCCACCCCACCCCACTGCCCGCCACAGGCCGGCTCTGAGTTTGTGCGCTCCACCCACTCACGTGGCTCAGGCAGCCTGCCAGCTCCCCTATAAAGACCATGAAAAAGTGCAGCCCTCTCCACAAAGCAAAAGTCTGGACTAAACACCTGAGGCCAATTTTAGTCCCACAGTCTCACAAGCACAACTATGGTGCCACATTCTGGGACCAAGAGACAACCTCCAAGAAGAGCCAACGGGGTTCTAGCTGGCCGTGGGCAGGGTTCTAGAGCATGTGCGTGCAGCGGAAGTCGGCCCTGGCGAGCAGCAGTGCGGTCAGGCTCAGGGAGTGCGTCTGGAGAGGGTGTTTGCTCTCCAAGAGAATCTAGCCTTCTGGACGGCCAGCCCTGAAGTTAATCACACCCCCACGTGGTGAGGGACAGATAAGTAACCCTCATGCAAACAGCGTGGCTTCCACGGAAATCGGAATGCTTCTAGGTCACAGTCAGTATTCTAGAACCCATGCGCCGGCCCCACATCAAGCAGCATCAGGGCCCAGTGCACGGAACAGGCTGGTCAGAGAGAGCACATCCCTCTCACACCCGTGGGGTTTCCAGGTGCCAACGCTCCTCTCAAAGCCTCTACGCTCCGTCTCACTGAGACAGCGCTGGCCCGGACTGTGCTCCCAATCGGCATTTATGTCCCCACACTTGAGGAAAATTAGTTGGAGCCCCAATTTAGTGTTTAAATTTGGGTACGGAGGTCCCCGGGACAAGGAACCCCTCTAGACACCATTGTGCCTCAGTGGGAGAGGAAGGCTGCGAGCAGGCAGTGTCAGCTCCTGAAGCCTCCCCACACCCAGGCTCCAGGCTCCTGGGCCCTGCCTATCTGTCAGAGCGCAGGAGGCAGCAGCAAGTACAGGGTGCACAGAATGAAGGTGAGGAAGGAACCCGGCCAGCTGCTGACCGCTCTCTCCTCCCAAGTCCTGCTCACCACTTTCTGTGGAGCAGGGCCAAGGCCTCCTCTGGATACAGTGTTTCAGTTTTGCCCTGCCCTCAGCCTTGAGCTTCAGGACAGAAGGGGAGAGGGGGGAGGGCATGGGAGGTTAGGAGCAGAGGCAGGGAAGCGCCCCTTCTGGCCACAGCAACAGGAAATGTGTTCTCTGAGTAGCCTCCTACCACCAGCAGCTTAGACAAGCAGCCCAGCATGCACAGGAGCACATGTGCGCATGCGCATGCACACGCATGTCCAGGGAGCCCGCTCTCTGCAGCTGCTTCTCACGAGCACCTGAGAACCCCTTCGTCCATCCAAAGCAATGTGCCTTCTGCCTTCTCCCCAAATCCCCCTCATCCAATGGAGATGCAACCCCTGGGCAAGCCCCCCTTTTCCCTGGGGCTGCACCCCAAGCTCCAGGCACGGTGCTGCGTGCCCACCAATAAGCATGATCCTTCCCGCCTTCCCCTCTCCCAGGGATCACTCCACCTGCTGGCCCTCTGATCGTCCCACTACATCCCCAGTTCACCCTTCTGTCCACCTGCCGGACACACTCGGCTCCCTCACACCCTGCCCTGCCCCTGCCCTCCCTGTTCCTTGCCCATCCTTCACTGGACTTCTTCCCAGGGCAATGCTCTGTGTTCTTCCTGCTCTCCCAGTCTCCAGCCAGACTTAGTCCCACCTGGCCTCGGGCTGCCTCACTTGCTAGCAAAAAAGGCCCCTACAGTGACCAGGGCCCCCAGTGCCACGGCCCCTGTCAGCACTGTCCTCACTGACGCCCAGTTCCCCTCCCGCAGGCGCCGCGCCTCCTCCAGGGCCCCGTCCCCGTACAGAGCTGTGAACTCCGCCTGTGGGAGAGAAGGGAAGTAGGAGAGAAAGAAGTATCAGAATGGGGAAGAGTGGAGAAAAGGAGAGGAAGGGTTCCCATTCCGTCCACGGTGAACACTACTACCTCACACCCAGCTCCTCCCTGGCCAACCTCTGCTACCTAGAAGCCCCCTCTCACCCCTGCCCCCAGGGCCCCTGATGCTCTCCCCCTTTGAATGCCTGGCTCATTGCCCCTTCGCCCTCTCTTGCTTTGGTCAAACATTCTGCTCAGGATGTTTGCATGGCTAGTGTCCTTCACCAAGGCATGGCTGACTGCCCCGCCCCCAGCCCGGGAGTCAGGGGAGTGAGGTCCCTGACAGATGGAGGCCTTGCCTGACACCAGGTTCCTGAAGGCGGGCCTTGGGCGCCATGTATTCTGCGTCCTGCTTTGGACCCTGAACCCATTCAGTGAGACTGCCTGGCAGCCCCGAGCAGAGTCCAGCGCTATACCCGCAGTCCGATTCGACCCAGATGGGAAGACTCAGCCCCCCACGCCTCGCCCCCCCAGCACAGCAGCCCCCACCCCCAATCCAAGCCCCCACCTTCCCATAGAGATGAGCTTTTGCGGAGGGGCGTTCTGAGCAATCACTGAGAAGCTTCTCACCCAGCCCCCGCTGCTGCGGATCCAGTCAGCCAGCCTCGTCTCCAGGTAGACCACCATCCACTCCTGCACTTGCCCCGCCAGTGGCTCCATCTCCTTGTTGACACTCTCGGCACACAGCGCGGCCCCAAAGACAAAGAAGGCCACCAGGCGGCCCCAGTTGGGGCCCCCTTGGAAGAGTTCATCAGAGACCTGGGTGAAGCGTTGCTGGGCTGAGCCAGGAGTCACATGCAGCTGGGCTGCCAGGTCGGAGAAGGTGCGCCGGAAGCGGGTCTCGAACTCATCTCCAGCTGCCCGCATGGCTTGGTGCAGCGGGTCCGCTGCTGGGCCCTCCCCAGGGCCAGCTCCACACACATAACCCTTCTGCCTCAGTTTGTAGCCCACAAAGTCTGCCACCAGAGCCCGTGTGTCTGGCGCTGAGGCTGGGGTCGCCATGCGGACAGCTGTAAGGGTCGGGTAGAAGACTGGCATGAATCCGTGGAGAGGAATCCCAAAGGGGCATTTCTGTTTGGGCCAGCCCAGAGGGGTAGGGGAGGTGTGGGAGCGGGGGTGGGCGGGTGGGGCGGAGGCTCGGAGGGAGACCACTAACTAGGCCAGGAGGAGCAAGAACCAGGGAATGAAGTCAGGGAGGGATCTGGCCATGAAACTCAGATGATGCCAAATGAAATGGAAAGCACGTACATTTTATTTCTCAAACACTTTAGACTGGTTTTGGGGTTTTTTTTGTAATACGACAGCCATGTGACTCCCCCAGCCCCACTGTCTGTAGTGCACACCTTTTTAGCTGGAGAAAGGGACTGAGGGCCTTTCTAGGGGTGAGATGTGAGGTTGTTGGCAGAGGTGCCAGATGGGGGAGGTGGGAGAAGCAGAGGGGTGCCGGTGTAGAGAAAACAAGGGGACACTCACCCAGCCTGGATGGCAGCTCTTAGGACCCAGCACTGGTGGCAGGGAGCCCCCAGCTGGGGCCTTTCATGCTCCCAGCCAGCTTGGTGCCCTGGGAAGGGGAGGGGGAGATCAGAGCTAGGCAGGAAAGGCCAGGGAGCAGGGTCTGGCCTGGGAAGGGCTGGGGTTCCAGCGCCTGGGTCTGAGCCCCTGTCCCCTCCGGTCTGCCAGCTGTGTGGCTGAATCCATGTTTAATGACTGTCCTCCCGGGAAACCCAGAGCCCACGGCTTCCTGCCGACACCATCTCTACTCCTGGCTCCCACCGGGGCAGCCCAAAGGCCCAGCTCCTCCCTTACTCCCACCCCAGCCTGTCTCCAACCCCGCCCGCCTGCCAGGTTAGAGATCTCACGGGCCGCTGCCGGGATCCGGGCCGTTTCCTGGTGCAGGAGCTGGCAGGCAGGGAGGGAGGGAGGGAGGCAGGGAGGGAAGGAAGGAGGAGGAAAGGGGGGGGCAGGAGGGAGGACCCGGCGCCGGGTGATGATGGGGCCCAGAGATGCGTCCAGAGAGAGGGGCGGGGCTGGGACGCCAGCCTGGGAAGGGCCACAACTTGGAAAGAGAGAGCTGCCAAAGGTAAGAGGAGAGCCAAGCCAGAGGACACCCCGGCCCCGCGGGGCTGGCTCCTACGCCACAAGGCTGCCCACGGAAAGCATGCCCGGCCGTGGGGAATCTCAGACGAAATGCAAAACTTCCAGAAGGTTTCTGATGTTACGTGTACTTGTTGAACTTTTCCAGCCTCAGAGTGGGAGCGGGTAGGTAGGAAGAATCTCCCATTACCGTACTGTGGGGACCTCAGACTAGGTGCCCTGCCCCCACCCTCTGCCCTCCAAGGCACCAAGGGACCAAGACTGGCGTCACAAGCAGTTCACACCGATCACTTTTCTCCTCCTTTTGTAATCAACCTTTTTTTTCTGTTCTGTAACTCAACAATATAGAAGTACGGCGGGAAAACTACAGGTTTCTCCCCACCCACCCACCTCGAACCTACATGCGCCCCTCCCAAGAGGTCGCCAATGCTCAGGTTGATGTTTATCCTTTTGGATTTTGCAGATCCAAAATGTGTTTATATATGTGTGTATACACATGCACACAAGTCTATTCGGGCATACAGACACAGATTTCCATTGCACAGACAAAATCATACATTCGGTAAATCTTATTCAGCCACTGGACTTTTCCCACGATACAGGAGATATACCCGAATTATTTTTTAATGTCAGAGAACCACAGGGATTTCTCATCCATGGGTCATGTCTCTGTTTTCTGTGTCTCTCTTGCACAAGGCCACTGCAGCAGTTCCCAGGGGTGAGGCAGTGCCTGGCCACGGCTGGTCCACACAAGGACACGCGGGCATTCCTCTTGGCCCCTCCTTCGGAAGGGGGCGGCAGGGTTCACAGGGGCCCCAATCATCATGCAGGCTCCTGCAGGCCTGTTTCCTTTGGTCCCATTTGGTGGAAATCCCAACCAAAGGACAGGAAGAGGCAGGTCTTTCTCTCTCTGCTTCGGCCCAAGAACTCCCTCTGCCATGGTGATCACTGCAGGAAAAGAGTCTTTCCTGTGACAAGAAAAGTAGCAGTTGACAATTTTGAGGTCTTGTTCTTTTGTTGTTCCATGCTGTCAGTCTGGTTACAACAGCCTCCCCTGTTGCAGCCACCGTATCAGTCTCCTCTTTTGCACTGCCCTCTACCCAGGATGATAGTCTTCTCTAGGGACTAGTCCTTCCTGATAGCATACTCAGAGTGTGTGGGGGGAAGTCATTCTATCTTTGCTTTTTTTTTTTTTTTAATTGCCAGGAAGACCATGGCATGATGGAGTGGAAGGTGGAGGAGCAGATGGAGGAGGGAAAAAAAGTCTATCTTTGCGTCTAAGGAGCATTCTGGTCATACTTTTTCCAAGGTAGATTTGCTTGGTCTCTGGGAGTCCGTGGGCTATTTAATATTCTTTGTCAACATCATCATCCAAAGGCCTCAATTCTTTCTGCCTTGCTTATTCATTGTCCAGCTTTCCCACGCATGTGAGGTGATTAAAAAGACCGTGGCTGGGGTGTCTCAAGGTGACATCCTTGCTGTTTGACACCTGAAAGAGATCTGTTGCAGCAGATTTTCCCAGGGTAGTATATCATTCGATGTCCTGCTTCCATGAGCGTTGGTCATGGATCCAAATAAAATAAAATCCTTGACAACATCAGTCTTTTCTCTGTTGATTGCTTACTGGTCCACTTGTGAGGACTTCTGCATTCTTTATGTTGAGGAGTAATTCATACTGAAGGGTGTACTCTTTGATCTTCATTAGTAACTGCTTCAAATCCTCCTCACGTTCAGCGAGCAAGGGTGTGTCATCTGTCTATATCGCAGGGTGTCTTCCTCCAGTACGATGCCAAGTTCTTCATACAGTTCAGCTTCATAGATTATTTGCTCAATATGCAGATTAAGCAAGTATGGTGAAAGAATAGAACACTGACGGGCACTGATTTTAAGTCACAATCTATATATATCCTTGTTCTGGTCAAATGACTGCCTCTTGGCCCTACGCACAAGGAGCCCTGTGGAGTAGTGGTTACATGTTGGGCTGCAATCCACATGATTGGCAGTTCAAAGCCACTAGCAGCTCTGAGAGAGAAAGATTGGGCTTTCTCCACTTGCAAACAGTCTCTAAGAAACCCCCGGTGGTGGTGGTGGTGGTGGTAGGGGGGTGGTTACTATGACTCAGCATGAGTACAGTGAATAGAATTCCCATTCTTTGCAGTGTTATCCATAATTTTTTATGACCCACACAGTTAAAAGCCTTTGCATATAAAGGAATTGAGTTATTGGGTGTTAAATGTTTATATGCATATTTTATCCTTACAACAGTCCCTAAAATTTCACCCCCACCCCCACTCTATGGATAAGGCAATGGAAACCTGGAGAGGTTATGTAGCCCAAAGCGCCAATGAAGAAGCTGGAACTCCACCTAATTCTCTCTGCTTTGAAAACTAGTGGTCTCAAGGTTGACACTATGTTGCTTCAAGGTCACCTCTTCTCTTCTGGTATTCAGTATTCTCACAGTCAGTCTTCACAACATTTACAAGAGTGTGCTCAGTTTTCTCACAGTCAGTCTTCACAACATTTACAAGAGTGCGCTCAGTTTTCTCTTCTGAGCACAGCCTACTAGCTGCTTTGTGGCTGTATCTCTTTAGCTATTTCTTTTTCACGCTTAGGCTGATCATTGCAGCTGTCATCAGCAAAGTTGTCCCATCTTCAGAGAATCACCCAGTCTCACCGGGAGCCCTGGCGGCGGAGCGGTTACGCGTTGGGCTGCAACCCGCAAGGTGGGTGTTTAAAATGAGCAGCCGCTCTGGGGGAGACAGGGACCGTTCTGTCCTGTCCTCCTGTCCTTTAGGGTCATTTCAAGTCGGCAGTGACTAGATGGTAGTGGCCTGGGTTTGTTTCTGGAGTTTTCGTGTGGAATTCTCCTTTCTCCTGGCAACTTTACTTGAAATAAAAATACTCCCCCCACACACAGTAAGACCTTTTATTTGTCAACATTAAGTCTGAATTGAAATAAAAACACTTTTTAGTCTCCAGACACAAATATACTTTCATTTTCGCATGTATGTATATGCCCTTTGAGAGCAGGAACCGAATTTTATTCACTTGGGGTTTGCAAGAGGTGCAAATTGTTAACTCGCTCAGTGACTAACTGAAAGGTGGGAGATTCAAGTTCAACTCAAAGCACCTGTGGGAAAAGGCCGGCCGATCTACTTCCAGAAAGTCAGCCCCCCCAAACTCTCTGACACTCATGGAGTTGCCATGACATAAAATCAACTTGACGGAAACTAGTTGGGGGTTTGTGTCCTGGAAGCCTCAGGGCATTGACTGACCAAATCAATCAGTATCTCTGGCTAGTGACTGAGCAATCCCACCAGACTTTGGAAGATAACTCTGGTCGCCGCTAAAGAAAGACTTACTTGATATAAAGGCTCAATCTCAGATCTGAACAGCCGAATGAACAGAGCTGCTGGACCCACCACTCCCACCTGCAGGTCCAGACCTGTGTGCCCCAGGGTCATCTGACATCAACACACAGAGCCAAGGGACTGCAGTTCAACATGAAAGGCAGCCGAGTCTTTACCAGACAACCAAAGGCCGTCTCGGCTTCTATTCGTTCAATGGAAGGAATATTCATTCAATGACATATTTCCCAGGACAGCTACTTGACTGTAATAAGTTGTGTTGTTGCTGGGTGCTGTTGTGTTGATTTTAACTCATCACAACTCCAGGAGATAGAACTGCCCTGAAGGGTTTTATTGGCTGTCATCTTAATAGAAGCAGAACAGCAGATTCCACTAGCCAGGTAGCCAGGTAGCCACTGGTTGGCTACAAGCCACCAACCTTTCGTTTGTAGCTGAATGCTTAACTGGTGCACCACTAGGGCTCCTTTTGGCTAGAATCTACTGTACAATTATTTTTCACGCTAAGATGTGAAGATGTCCATTTATTTTATGTGTGTGTAAAGATGACAAATAAGACTCAGTATCACTTTAAAAGCAAGTCCTGGTTAAACAGCATTCCTGTGAGCTGAGATCTGCAGTTGGAAACCACCAGCAGCTCCCACGAGGAAGAAAGACTGGGCTTTCTACTCCTGTGAACGGTTACAGTCTCGGGAACCCACAGGGTCGCAATGAGCCAGCATTGCCTTGATGGCAGTGAGTTTTTTATGCTTTTTTTATGTATTGGAATTAAAATGCAAGCAGGAATTAATTATATACTATGATATGTGTTTCGCTATTTATTTTCAACTTTGTCACTTGGGATCTTACAGTTAAACCACACTACTATTTCAAATTTAGAGACTACGGTTCCAATTAAGATTTCCCATTTTAATACTCCAAAGATGTTAACAGTTATTAAAATGTTTTGACTTTCTATCACCAAATAAATAAGAGCATGGACCCTAGAAGGAATCTAAGCCAGTTGCCGTTACTCATTCTTGGCAACTATGCTCTGTAGGGTTCTAGTGGCTTTGGTAGTTCAGAAATAGATTGCCAAGCTTTTCTTCCACATTTTCTCCGAGTAATTCCAGCTGCCAGCTTGCACTTAGCACTGAGTGCTTAACCTTTTGCTCCACCCATCGGCTCCTGAGCCGGACTGCTGTGTTCCCCATCCCAACTCTCCAGTTATTAGTTAGGTGATCCTGGACAAGGGTCCCATCCCCTTCCTGCCTTGATTTTCTCATCTATAACAAACATCAGCTCCGCGACTCCTAAGTGGTTGTGAATATTGAGTTACTATATGTAAAGTTCTCACAAGAGTACCTAGCACACTGTAAGGTCCTAAGTGGTTGTGAATATTGAGTTACTATATGTAAAGTTCTCACAAGAGTACCTAGCACACTGTAAGGTCCTAAGTGGTTGTGAATATTGAGTCACTATATGTAAAGTTCTCACAAGAGTACCTAGCACACTGTAAGGGCCATATAAGGTCGGTAAGTCACTTGGGGGCAGTTCCCCCGCCCCCACTACCACAGAAAGGGCAATAGCTAGCTCTATGCCCTATTAAGGAGTGCTGGTTTCAGACTCTCTAAGCAGCAGTTCTCTGGCCCGTCAGAATTCACGGTGTGTTTACGGTTTGTTGTCCTTCTTAGTCTAAGATGCAGCTCCTGCTGAAACTAGAATCCCACATTCCCGCCTCAAAAGAGTTGCACTGCGGGTCATTTATCTAAAGCTTTGAAGGCCACTTCGTTCTCTCAAGGGATTGAGAGTCACCTTAGAAATCCTAGCTCTTAACCTTCAACAGAAGGACCAGAGAAGATGTGACTTGCTCAAGGCCACACAGCTCAATGGCACCAGAGGTGGAGCTCGAATTCAGGTCTCCCCACAATTCTCAGACCAGAATGGTTCCAATGGGGCAGTGGTCAAGCACCCACCCTTTTGAGCACCCCATCAGCTTTCTGACCTACTCTTTCTGCTCCCACCCTGCACGGCTCTCCACCGGCAGCCTGGTGCTTGGGGTCGAGCAAAGAAAACCTTGAGCCCTGAAGGTAGGGTCCTAGCTTCTTTAACCTTTCCTAAGAAGAAAGGGAAAAGTTACTTTGCTCCCTGAGTTAACTCTTCCCGTGCCAGAGAGGTTAAGGACTCAGGGCTCCCAGCCTCCCTGGGAACTGGAAGGGTGGAGACCCCGCCCCTTATTGCAGCAGCGGCAGCGGCGGCTGCAGCGGCGGCGGAGATGGATGGGTAGCCACCTGTCAGAGGACTGTGGGCGGGGGCCGGAGATGCGACGGCCGCGGGGCCGGCGTGTTAAGAGCCATTGAGCGCACGCTCAGAGCGGACAGCTCGGAGGAGGCAGGAGGTGGCGGTGCACGACTCCGGGAGCTGACCGCGGGCCAGAGAAAGCGAATGGAGGCCAAGGGGAGGTGAGGGCACCTGGAGGTGACAGCAAGGAGATACGCAAAGGCCAGCGGTTGCCGAGCTGGCCCGGCCACTTCCGCGCCGACCCGGGGCGGGCCGGCTGAAGAGAAGGCGGCGCGACGGTGCTGCGGGCCCGGGGGGGATGCTATGTCCCGCGAACGGCCCCCCCGCACGGACATTCCGCGCAACCTGAGCTTCATCGCCGCGCTGACCGAGCGAGCCTACTATCGCAGCCAGAGGCCCAGCCTCGAGGAGGAGCCGGAGGAGGAGCCAGGTGAGGGCGGGACGCGGCCGGGGGCCCGGTCCCGCGCTCACGCTCCGAGTCGGGGTCGCCGCGCCCGCTCTGCGCCCGCCGGAGGCGGGGGGGTCCGGGCGCCCCGCAGCCGCAGCCCAGACACCCGCAAGAGAGTGCGCTTCGCCGATGCCCTGGGGCTGGAGCTGGCCGCCGTGCGCCGCTTCCGCCCCGGCGAATTGCCCCGGGTGCCCCGCCACGTGCAAGTGCAGCTGCAGAGGGACGCCCTCCGCCACTTCGCCCCGTGCCAGCCCCGCGTCCGTGGCCTCCAGGTAGGCGGCGGGGGCGCCCTCTTCTCAAGACCGCTCGATCCGGAGCGGAAGGCGTGTGGGAGTGGATTTATCGAGGAAGAGCCATGTCCATCCCCAACCCTGGGCGTGCACTTGCTAATCCCTATGAGGGTCCCCATTCTCGAGGGGTTCGAGGCCACTGTACCACCTGGGCTCCCACTCTTCGACGGGGACGCCAGGGTGGGCCTCTGATTGGTTCACTGCCTCGCTCTGACCACGCCCCTCGTCTCTCCCTCTCCTCGCCCCTAGGAGGCGCGCGCAGCCCTGGAGCCGGCCAGCGAGCCTGGCTTCAACGCCCGCTTGCAGGCGCAGCGCATCTGTCTGGAACGCGCCGAGGCGGGCCCGCTGGGCGTGTCCGGGAGCGCGCGCGTGCTGGACCTGGCCTACGAGAAGCGCGTGAGCGTGCGCTGGAGCGCCGACGGCTGGCGCAGCCAACGCGAGGCGCCCGCCGCCTACGCCGGCCCGGCCCCGCCCCCTCCGTGTGCGGACCGCTTCGCCTTCCGTCTGCCGGCGCCACCCGTAGGGGGCGCTCTGCTTTTCGCCTTGCGCTACCGGGTGACGGGTCACGAGTTCTGGGACAACAACGGCGGCCGTGACTATGCCCTACGCGGGCCCGAGCATCCGGGCAGTGTGGGAGGCCCAGAACCCCAGGGCTGGGTCCACTTTATCTGAGAGGGAGGAAACCAAAGGCAGCCGCGAGTGGACAGGGAGGAACCGGCATCGGTGGGGATTGGACCCAGCGCCTGGTGGGGGAGGGAGACGAGGGTGGGAGAGGTCCACGGAGCTAGGGGAGCCTGGGATGGGGAAAACGCTGTTTGGGTGTGAGTGGAAGGAACCGGAAGCCTTAGAGGAGAGAGACGGGAAAAGGTGTTGGAGGAATTAGGAAGAAAATAAACCAATGGAGGCTGGTGGGGCCGTTCTCTCTCGCAGTGGGCACTGGGGAGGAAGTGAGGAGGCTTGCCAGGCGGTGCGGTATGAAGTGAGGGCAGCTCCTTGGGGCTGCGGTACTGTGTGTAAACTAGGAGCCCACCGGTTACTCATTTCCTCCTCCTCTTCACCATTGCCACCTCAGGTCTCCCATCCCTGTCGGCCCTAGCTCGAACTCAGCCGTAATTGCCTTGCTTAATCCCAGGGATTTGACAGTTGCTCACTGGGCTTTGGCATTATGAGAGGCTCTCTTGTCAGCCCTGGCGGCACCTACCTTCCGTTTCTAGGGACTGGCTGGGGAGGAGAGACAGACAGTCAGAACTTCGTCCTCCAGATTCCAGGCAACCCAGGGGAATATAATGGAGGCAGAAGTAATTCTGAGTCTGCCCTTGTAGCTAAATAACGAGGTGCCTAAGGGGTTGATACACTCAAGGGCTTCCAGAAATTTTGCCTTGCCTTTCTGGGGTGCCCTCCAATGATCTCTAAGCACTTTATGGGTTGCATTTGTCAAGAGAAGGTGGGTGAAGAAACACTGTTCAGATCTATCCTGTCTAGCCCCGAAGAAAGAAGTCCCTGATAAATTGTATACCTTGCATCAGGCATTCACTTCTCTGGGCTCCGAGTTTCTTCCGCAGGAAATTGACCCGAGATTCCCTTCTGGCTGTGACATTTTATGATCTGTGAGTGGTAGAGCTTAGAGTAGAAGCCATGGTCTTCAGTCTAGCTCTATAGTTGCATACTGCACTGTCTGTTTGGGGCTGAGGATGGGTCTTCTCCCTTGGGGTACAGATGTACCTGAGTCCAGCAAGGAACTGTGACCAGCCTGCAGGCTCAGGGTATTTGGAGGTCTCTGTCAAATGACTCCTCAGGTCTGCCCCCTTGCTTTTGGCCTTCCGTAGACAGACTCCCAGCCTGGATGCTCTGGAACAGCTTTGGGGTTAGATGCTTGGGAGTCCTTTTAAGTGAAACCATGTGGGGCCTCTATGAAAGATAAAAGATCATGGGTACAAGGAATGGACAGCATTTCAAATCAAGACTCAAGCAACACTTGAAGATGAACTGTTAACAGAAAATAATAGTCTGATCTATACCCCGAGCAAGTGAAACGGAAAAGCTGGACTCTTCACGCGTCTCATTCATCCTTGTAACTCTCCTGGCAGCCTGAACATCGGAGTCATGCCTCTGCTGGCTGCCTGCTTTTCCTTTTCCCTCAGCCTCGCCCTGCACCCTGTGCTTCCCGCTCTTCCTTGCCCCCGTTCCTTTTCACCACTCTGCTTGTTTCTCCTAACATGCCAAGGTATTGGCCTTCATTTTCTCTCCTTTCCTTTGCCTTTCCCTTCATCCTGGTTGGTCTTGGCTGTTCCTTCTCCCTCCAGAAGGGGTGGAGAACCTTTTCTTCAGGACCATGGTTGATTCACCTTCCTCCCTCAGGCTCCTTCCTGACCGCCTTCTAGAAGGGAGAAGCGGGGAAGCAGCCGCAGTTCCTGATGCTCTGGAAGAACTGGAAGCTCCCAGGTAATCGTCTCCCAGTCCCCTCTTCTTTCTGTTACTGATTTCTCAGATTAAAAATGCTAGCTCCCCCTCTCATTAAATGAGAGAGAGAGAGAGAATTTTGCATGTGTCCACACTTCTCCACACATGCATTCAGAATGGAGTGTGGCACTTGCCGTCACCATGTCCCCTCTGCCCAGAGCCTTAATCCTTTGAAGGAAGATGGCTGAAAGAGAATGAGCACGGACCTTCCTCAAACAAATGCCCATGTGAGCCTCACCCGGATCGCCTGAAGAAGGACACAGCATTTTGTATCTCGTGGGTCACCTGCAGGCCGGAAGTTCCAGCAGGAACACTGGAGAAACTCTGAGGAGAGGAACTGTACTGGAGTCTGGCAAGCAAGGCACTGTGAAGTCCTCATTGAGGACCCCAAGCGAGGGAGGGTAACGGAACCGGCGAGCCTGGGTCGAAACTCAGGGTTGTAACCATCTTTGCCCTCCGTGTGTGCCTCACTGTTACGTGGCATTAGCAAAAGCTCCCATTGACCCAGTGTGCACCTGCTCAAAGCTAGTGGTGGTTTGCATGCATTATTTTATTTAATCTTCTAAAATAAGAGTTTATTAATATCACTGCCTCTGTTTTAGAGTCAAGGAAATGGGCTCAGAGAAGCTCAGCAATTTGCTCAAGGTCACCCAGCTAATAAGTGGAAGTTATGATTGTAAACACAGGAAATCTTGAATCTGGAGCCTATGTGCATAACCATGACACGTTCTTTTTTTTTAAAGCAAAATAAAGTTTAAAACCTTGCCATTGATCTTCTCTCATTAGGGAAAAATCCATCGTTTGAGGTTGTGCTGGTCACTCATCCGTCCAGTTCCCTGAACTAGCTCGGAGAAGGCAAAGTGTCAAGAGCCCCGGCCTCCCTGCCCCTCCCGGGGCTTGCCGCTCCTCCTGCTCCAGGTCCATGTACAGCCAGGTTGGTGCAGAGTCAGCAGGGGAACCATCCCACCTGCCACTAGAGAACTTAAGATTTTCTCCCGGCCCTACCCAACCCTCCACACCTTTAGGTGCACCCTCCCTACCCCCCCCCCACCACCCCACTCCCTTGCAGGAGCCAGTTCCTCTAGAGCTTTTGCTGGGAGGGTGCCTGGCTAGGATAACTAGGTGGTTCGTGTTTGGCCCTCTCTGGGAGCCTAGGATTACTGAGTGGGTCAGTACACACTCTAATTGGGGGCAGAGAACTAACCAAAGGTAATCCTGGTCCCCCCCCCCATTCTTTACTCTCTAAGAACCACCGAGAATCACTTACTCCACCTTCTCAGCGTTACAGAACCAGCACAGCAGTCTTGGTTTTCACCACATTGTGCTGCCCCAGAGCCTGGGAGCTAAACATGAACTCTTGTCCCAAAATGGGCCTGGGTGAAGTAAGCCTTGTTGCACACACGAAAGATGGGTACCTCCTTCCCCCAAACAACAACAGATGCCACCTACCCTTGTACAGTATATATATATATATATACTTGTTCCTTTAAACAGTTTTATTGACAGGTAATTTACATATAATATAATTCAATAGTTCAATCATATCACAGGGAATTGTACAATCCATTTTAGAGCACTCACCCTCCCCCATGGTTAAATCAGCTTTAAGATAATTTATGCCAGGAGCAAACTAAAAGGAGAGGGAGAGAGAGTGGACCACTTATTGGTCCACCAAGCCTCAAGGACAACATTCCTGCTCTGAGCAGTCAATGCACAGATCCGTAGGGCCGGCCCCACCATGAGACATAATGTCCCTTCCCTGACCCACAGCACTATGGGGGACAGCACTGGAGACACAGTTCGGGAATTGTGCCCTGCCTGACAACACCCCACCCCCACCAGGGCAAAACACACAGGGAGTGTAACAGCAGCAAGAGGAGCAAAGCAACAAAGTCCCCAAGGAGTCCTGAGAATAGGCTTCTGACTCTGGGGGCAGGGCGGCACCTCATCAGACCTCACTGGAAAACATTCAAAGGGTGAGCAGGCAGCCCTGGAACTATTTATAAGGTTTTTTTTTTTCCTCTCTCCCTCTTTTTTCCTATGCCTATATAAGATAGGCAAGACAAACAATCCCGAAAAGAAAACAGTTCTGGGGGGACATGGGAAAGGAGGGGTTGGGGTAGAAGTGGGGAGCCAACAAACTTAGGGACAAGGGAACAACAAGAGATCTAAAATCAATGACAAGGAGGGAGTAGAATGCCTGGTGGGGTCGATCATTGCAATGTAGCTGAGAGCCAATGATAGTGGGACAGAAGGAAAGTAAAAGGAAATAGAGAAAAGAAGTAGGAGGCAAAAGACATAGAGGTATAAATATAGGCATGTATATATGTAAATATCAATATAGAACGATGGGGATACAGGTCTATGTACATATACATGTATCAAGGTAGCAGGTGAACATTGTGCCTCTACTCAAGTACTCCCTCAACACAAGAACACTTAGTTCTAATAACCTGGTATTCTGTAATGCTCACCTTCCCGACATGATCGCTGAAGACAAATGGGTGCATAAGCAAATGTGAAGAAAGCTCATGTTCCCTGGCTATTAAAAGATATAGCGTCTGGGGTCTTAAAGGCTTGAGGTTAAACAAGCAGCTGTCTAGCAGGGAAGCAACAGAGCCCACATGGAAGAAGCACATCAACCTGTGTGATCACAAGGTGTCACCTGGATCAGGTATCAGGCATCAGAAGACCCAAAACAATCATAATGTGAATGGGGTGGGGGTGGGGGTGGGGGTGTCAGTGGAGAGCCCAAGTCCATCTGTAGACAGTTGGACATCCCCCTCATGGAAGGGTCACAAGAAAGGGATGAGCCAGCCAGGGAGCAGTATAACACAGAAGAAACACGCAGCATTCTTTTCTTCAATGCTTCCTCTTCCCCCACCATCATGACCTCAGTTCCACCTTACAAATCTGGCTAGACCGGAGCTTGTGCACTGGTACACTGGTATAGACAGAGCTCTGGATACAGGGAATCCAGGAGGGAGAAACCCCTCGAAATAATGGAGTAGTGATACCAGCCCCACCACCCCTTCTGCCAATGGGGAGGAACAGCAGAAACGTGGGTGATGGGAGACAGTGGACAGTGTAAGATATGAAAATAATAATTATAATTTATCAAGGGTTCCCTAGGGTGGGAGGGTGGAGTAGGGAGTTAAAGAGGAGCTGATACCAAGGACTCAAGTAGAAAGAAAATGCTTTGAAAATGATTATGGTGACAATCACACTGTGATAAAATTGATGTATGGATTGTTATAAGAGCCCCCAATAAAACTATTTTTAGAATTTATGTAATCACAATTAGTGCTCCATCTCCCCTCCCGTCTTCCTTAGTTACTCTCGAAATCCCCTTTCCCTCCCTATCCTCCCCCCCAACTCTGTCTCCCCTTGTATCTTTACTTATCAATGTGCAGCCACTCCTGTGACTCACAGCTGGGAGACCCAACAGAAAACAATCAAAAACAAACTGCGCTAAGGTGTTACGTGTAGAAACAATAGTATACAAAAATACGAATAATTCAGAAGAAGGAAAAGACCCCCAATATATGTATATTTTTTAAGTCAGGGAAGACATTTCTGTCGTGGAACCAGTAAGAACACATTCAGGCCGCGTCTATGGGGTGGTCAACGGGCAAGTGTCGAGTTCAACCCAGCATCAGCAAGATCACAATGGGCCCTGCCTGGCTGTGAGGCTGCTGGAGGCTCTTGCCCTGGCTCCGCAGAGAACTGTGTCTTCTCTGCCTGGTCTGTGTGGGTCTGATCTCTGATGTGCCTTCCACCTCACCGAGTCCTCAGCCTTCCTCCACCTGGAAATCAACCACGGTTAAACAACACGCCCTTTCGTTGATGGACGGCTCGGCTTTTTCTGGTCCTTGCTGCTAAGGAGTGCAGTTGCTCACGTTGCATGCGGCCCCAGTAAGCCAAGCAGCACCTCATTCCTTGTCCGTTGACAGCAGTCTATTCCGACTCGTGGGAGCACCGGGTATGCAGAGGACCGGTGCGCCTTCAGCTTTTCCAAGCTGGAACCTGCGACGTGGCGGGCCAGGGGTACCCAGCGGGGCTGCACGCCAGCCTCCCGCTGGTTTCCCTCCCCAGGCTGGTTCCCGCTAACCTGACCTGAGAAACTCTCGTGACTTGGCAGGACCTGTAGGAATCTGTTGCCGTGAGGAGCTTTGGTGGCGGTACGGGTTAGGCATGGGCCCCCGCAAACTGCAAGGTTAGCAGTACAAACCCCTGCGCCACAGGAGACAGGTAAGACTGTCCGCCACTGTGGCTCTCAGAACTGATTTGATGGCAGTGGGGACTGTGTGTGGGCCTCCGTGCAGGGGCTTGTCCTCGGACAGCTTAGGGTTGGGTAAGCAGGTGCAAATAACCTGTCAGCCGCTGACCGGGGCTTTCCTAAGAGAAGCCACTACCGAGGTCCAGAAGCTGAGTCCTTAAAGCGAAACAGTAAAGACACGCGCCTTTTGCTCTCCTCCAGACCTCTGACATCCCCCTGCCTGTCGGCCTGTCCCATAGCATCCCCATTCCTTTCTCTTCACGAATGTAGCTCATCGTTTCTCGTCATTAGTACGTCCAGCCTAACCCCTACACCCCCATGGTTCTGGCTCACACACCCAGAGGCTTCAACAAGTTCTTGGACAAATAGAATAAAAAGGTAATGGAATTTTCCCATGAACTTTATGAAGCCCCTTATATTTCTTGTGGCCCCCAAGTCAGAGGATCTAAGACCAGACAAGGCTTGTCTTTACTGATGAGCTGGGTCCAAGCTCCCGAAGCTCCAGAGATGGTAAGGGACTCGGGCAGGGACAAGGAATGTGTGGGCTACAGTTCATGATGACATTTGAATCTAGGTAGCCTGGCCATAACCCATTCCCAAGATGAGAAATAAGTCTCTTCACAACATACAATGTTTCAGGGTAAAGACTAACATCAGAAACATCTCATTTTGTTCTAGAAGTTTCTATTTCCAATTCCCATCGAGACTGGAAGAGAAACAAAATGGAGGGATAGAAATTTGCTGTGTGTCCTCAACTGTTGGTATTTGGTTGTTGCCGAGGTTATTAAAGAGTGAAGCTGTTACCCAAAGCCCATTAGTAGGCCACTGGAGATCCCCTTGCAGAGGGGTCTCAGGGAGGAGACGAGCCAGTCAGGGTGCGATGTAACAACGAAGAAAAATACAACTTTCCTCTACTTCCTAAATGTTTCCTCCCCGTTCCCACTACCATGACTCGAATTTGACCTTACAAGTCTGGCTAGACCAGAGGATGTACACTGGTACAGATAGGAACTGGAAACACAGGGAATCCAGGGCAGATGAACCCTACAGGACCAGTGGTGTGAGTGGCGAAACAGGGAGTGTAGAGGGAGAGTGGGTAGGAAAGAGGGAACCGATTACAAGGAACTATATGTGACCTCCTCCCTGGGGGACGGACAACAGAAAAGTGGGTGAAGGGAGACGTTAGACAGGGCAAGATATGACAAAAATAACAATTCATAAACTATCAAGGGCTCATGAGGGAGGGTGGGAGCGGGGAGGGAGGGGAAAAATGAGGACCTAATGTCAGGGGTTTAAGTGGAGAGAAAATGTTTTGAGAATGATGTACAAATGCGCTTTGCCCAATTGATGTGTGTATGGATTGTGATAAGAGTTGTATGAGCCCCTAATAAAATGATTTTTTAAAAAAAGAGTGAAGCTGTTAAAACAAAACAAAAAGACTGACCTATCCATCCCTTGGCCAGCTCACATGGGTAGAGGTAAAAGT